ATACGAGCGGACTGCAGTTGCAAGCTATTTCGTTTTCTTGTATTATCTGATCTACGCCATGTTTTAAAAGTTGTGATTACATCAACCGGGAGTACGGAAGGCAAAATCCTACTTAAATATGTTTTATTTTGCAATTATTTAATAGCGTAAATCTGAACTTTTTTCTTCAATTGACAATTATGGCACCCAGTTCCAAGCCAAATATTTGGACTACCAGTTTAAAGCAGTTTTCAGATTTGGTTACAAATGCGAAGAAACCTTGAATTTCCGTTTCTTTCTATAATAAGACTATTCTTATAGAAAAAAGGTCTGTTATTTGGGGGAACAAATTATTCCTTGCCATTGTAATTTAACGCAGGAAAGCCGTCGTTACGTAAATGTTCTTTTAACGATGGCGTCAAATGGATAAAACTCCAATGAAAACAATAAATGGGTGGATGGACTCTCTCACTAATGTTCTTTAAACATATTGTTGCCAAAAATATATAGTTTGTTCCATTTTTGCTTGTTTTTAATTTTGCGTCATTTGTTTTGTTTCCTAGGAATGCCCTAACAGTTATGTATTGTTGGCATCCCCAACCTTTTGGTTTTTTAAGAACCGTTTTCGGAGTTTTCATATAGACATAAAAGGCAAAATCAAAATCTTTAAAACTTGTGACGTGGTTAAAACATTGATAACAGGAAACCTTTTAAGCGGAAAAAATGGGGTCCTCAATAATAAAAATCGTGCGCATTGAAATGCCAAAGATTTAAAAAAGATATTATTTACTTTAAATAATTTGAATTACACCAATATGTATACTGTAAAATTTAATATGTATGCCACCACTTCCATACAATATACATTACGTCGTATAATAAAATGTTTGTCTTGGTTAACATGATTATAGAAAGAGAACGAATTTTAAATTGTTTCAGTAAATAATATCTTTTTAATCCATTATCAGAAAAATCTTACAATGACTGCTGGTTTGTTTGTTTGATTAGGTCATTTGGCGATGTTCCAGCTTTACTGGTTGAGAAAGACCTCAGGTGCCCTTCCGTGAATTATTTCACGCACGAACGGGCACCTGAGTAGAACCACCGACGTTCCGTAAGCTAACTTCCTCACATGAAAGAATCCAAAGTCCCTGTCGGGATTCGAACCCACAGTGGTGAGGGGCAAGTGGTTTCAAGTCAACGACCTTAACCACACGGCCACGGACGCCCCATGACTGCTGGTAAAAACCAGAATATCTAGCTGGACACTTACTGTTTACCACATTAACCAAGCTCTGCTCAGTTTCTACTAAACATTTTCTACACATTCTCGTCTTTTTCTTCCATAATACATATTAAACATACTTAACAAATTGCAAAAACTATTTTTTCATATGGCACTTTTTCTTGTATGAGCCAATGAATTGACGACAGCAATTCATAAAATGCATGGGGGAATGATGTTATTTGGAAAACACAACTTGTCTTACACAAGGGGTGTGGCTTAATACCATCATATATATTTAACACCACAACCAAAAGACCATTTGACATACACATAGGTGCTAATTACTCGGCTCCAACAAATATAATCAAAGACAAAATATTTCTAGTATTCAAGACATTTTAATCATTCATTTGTTAATTTGCACATAGCTTAGAAACAAGAAACATATAAGTACAAAGAACACAAAGTCTTAAAGTAAGCAGGTAGTCATC